TGTTTGTCATCAAAATGTTTAAATACAAAAATTAATACAAAATTAGAAAGCGATGGCTATTGAAATTCTTCATCACAACCAAAAGGACTTCAAGTCGTTGTGTGTGAAAAATGGTATCAGGGATGTTCTGTTTTCTGTGGATGAAAAATCCCCAGTCATCAAAGAATTAAAAGAAGAACTTTTAAAGATCGTTAACTAATAAAAAGCTAGTATTAATTTATTATATTACAAGAACTATGATTAGTGATATATTTTATTATTATTTAATAACAGTTAAATAATATATATAGTACAATTCAATTATTAAAATATACTTATTTGATAAGTATATTTGGAAGATAGTAAAAAAATTATTCATTAAATTAAACAATTACTTGAAAAACGGGAAAGTCCACGTCATCACACTTTCGGATTTTGCCATATCCTATTCTTTGATAATATATTATAGTAAAAACAATTAACAAAAGTAATAACCGATAGAAAATGGGAAAGAGTTTTGCAAAAAGAATACGAGATGGTTTGAACTTGAAAAAGGTTGGGGAGAGAAAGCACATAACAAGAAAAACGGGGCTAAAACTCGAAAATCACAGATGTCAGTACAGGATATAGTGAAAGGCGAGAAGGACCCATCGTTGGTTGCCTATTTGAAGTCACTTGGGATCGACCAAGACTACGTCCCACCAAAGGATGACCCACGCCGTGTTGTCATCTCCGAGTTTGCCGTCCTCTTCAAAGACAGAGACCCCGTTGTTCTTAAATTGAAAACTGAAGAAGACATGAAAAAGGCCAAAACGACTCCAATTAACATTAAGGAAGGTGAAGAATTCAAAATGAGAGTCACTTTCAGAGTACAGCACCAACCAGTCTTGGGCTTCAGAATCCTTAATACAGTCTCAAAACTCGGTAAACAAGTCGCTGCTGACGAGGAGATGCTCGGAAGTTATCCACCAAAGAATGACTTCCAAGCTCTTGAACTCCCAAAGAATGATTGGAATGAAGCTCCTTCCGGACTTTTGGCTAGAGGAGAGTACAAGTCAAACGTCAAATTCTTTGATGATGACAAAGTCACACACCTCCAATTCGACTACTTGATTAAAATCGTCAAGGAAATCTAATCTAATTCACGTCCTACCCGTTTTCTTTTACTGGTTACTCGTCTTTTTCTTCACTTTGGGTCGTCTCTTAATTGAAACTATTAACTTACTTAAATAATTTTATTAATAAATAGGTCGATTTATTAATATCAATTATAACCAGTTCTTTATAACGTCCGACTTTTCTTTGAGGAAAAAAATACGTTAATTTATTATAATTATATTATTGATAATGGTATAAACTATTCGTTAATTAGTATTTTACTAAAAATAGTTGTATTTTATATTCGTGGATTTTGATTAAATATCTTAGATAAATAATTAGTAATACAATGTAATTCTCTCTAAAATACCTAAGATATGTTTTTAACTCTTCAGATTATGGTAAAAAAGATGATGAAAAGAACTCAGTAATAATGAGGTTTAATATATAACCATACTTATTAACAATTTAAACTATAAAGAAAACCTCATAAAAAAGTGCTTAAAGTTGGACCCCAGCGCTTTCGATGACTCCGAGAGTCTTTCGAGTCATCTGCATCCAGTCGTTGAGTTTATTCGAGACGAATTGGAACTGCGTTTTGTCCAAAATCCGAGGAAGTACCCAGTAGAAAGTAGCCTCTTGTTGAACTTGTGAAATGAATCCTTTAACAAGGCCAAGTGACAATGCTCTCATCACCAGAATTTCGACACTATTCAAAGGCACACAAGTGACTTCTGCTATTTTGGTGAAAGAAAACGTCCTATTTTCTGTCATACTTCTAAATATCAATTCCATCAAAGAGACAATTGACGCCTTTTCGATGATTTGATTCTTGTTTTGAATGAGGGAAGGTTCTGTGGAAAAGAGTTGTGATAAGTCCTCTTGTACCTTTAAGTACATCTTCATGTTACCATTGTTGATTGCACGAAGAAGCTCGATGAGTTGCGAAACTCTGCCGTTGTCTGTTAACGCCTCACATATCGGGTTATTCAAAAACTCACCAAAGTTATACACTTTGTTTCCCACAAGCGCGGCGATGACTAAACTTGTTACAAACTTAGTCTTCTCATCGAGATCCAAACTGCTTTGATCAACAAATTTGAGGTACTTCACTCCGGATATGAAAAACTCGTTTGCGTCGTTTTTGGCCTCATAAAAACGAGTGCAAAGTAAATGGTACTGACTGTATACAACAGCCTCCAGTCCCTCTTCGTGCTCTAACAATTTGTCGACTTTGTCAATCTCATCTCTTGCTAATGGAACGTTGTGAGCCAACAGTTGGTATATCCCAATAGTCGAGTAGCACAAGCAACGTGCTCCCAAGTCTGCTTTAACGTCTTCTGAAATCGAGGTAACCAACTTAATACACGTTTGGTAGTCTGTGTTGTTCTTACAAATCGAAATGACGATTTGCGTCAGTTTGATTGGGTTAATTTTCTTCTGGATGTCTTTGAGGAAGACGTCGAAGAACTCGAAGAGTATTCCCGTGTTTCTAAGAAATGGGTCGTTGACGAAGTTCTCTGCCTCTGATGTGAGTTGGAAATACAGTTTCTTCGCCTTAAAGTCTTCAAGTGATTTGCACAGAGTAGCGTAGTCCGGATATTTTTGGACGAGTGTCTCGAAGAATTGTTGGCTCATTAAATATTTTTTAGTTTTCCACTTTTTCTTTTGAAGTTAAGTTAATGAAAAGTATTAGCAATAAATGGTATTATGAAACTATTTGTGATGGAAAAAAAGTCGTGCATGAACTAGTAAAAATTACTAATAAAAGTATTATACCAATGAATTAGATGCCAAGTACTGTGTCGGTGTGTTCTGAGAGTATCAAGTAATTCTCGATGGGTTGGACTTGCCCTGAATTCACACACAAATAGATCCACTCAGGCTTCACAAACTTCAAATTGTCATTCACTATTTTGTACTTAATAAGAGTGGGAGCTACACTTTGATTTGCAAAATAATGTGTCACACGCTTACTTATAGCACATGAAACTGACCCTCCATATCCAACAAAGTGCTGTTGAAGTATCTTCTCGATAGAACTTAGAGAATCATCAAAATACCCAACAAGACCATCAAACAAGGTTGGAAGAGGCTCTGCAAAATGTGAGTCGATGAAGACATTCGACTCTTCTGTGTTATCTCGCGTGTCTCCTCCATTGGTTGTCGACACTTCTACACCAGACAAAGTCTTGAAATTTTCTTCGTCGGGAAATATATTCTTTTTCACGTCGTTTTGAGCAATCCCAATGTCTAAAGATGTCCGTGCAGACCCTCCTTCATCGGCATCATAGATCTTCCCTTCATACACCGATTTAAAAAACCATTGTAATGACCGCGACTTCATTTCGTCATCATATTTCCTCTTCGAAGCGCCCTGAAAATTGTCGTTCAGAATCGCAAAGTCCAATTCCTTCTTGTTTGTCACTTGTCCCCCATTGTTTTGAACTATCAGTTGAATATGTTCCCGCTCTTCTTTTTGAAATCCTAATATTTTAAAGAGTTTTGTCACAAATAATGAACTCTTGACATCTTCAACATCACTAAAATCATAGCGCGTTAGTGTACTCCGGTGCCTCGGTACTTCCGTCTCTGTCCACCCATCGTCTTTGAAAGTCATTTGCCTTTTTCTGTTGGTTCTTATAGTATTAGATTATTTCTAGTTTATTTATAATTTCTTTATTAATTATAAATATAATTATTATTATCGTATATTTATAATTAAAATAGATTCTTTTTGTTATTGTTATTTTTATCATAAATATATTATATATTATTATTATCAGCAGAATAGTAAATTAAATTATAATTCAATTTTATAATTTATAATGAAGAAGAAAAAAAAACAGATAAAAAAAACGCTTCAAACTCTGATTCAATTAGTTTAATAACCCGTTGTATAGGACTCAAAATATCCAACAGAAATCACTGAAATTGTAGAGTTATCTTAGTCCAATTAAAAAAAAGGAACTTGGAAAAGGCAAGGAAACTAAAAACGTTACGAACTGAATAATTTCAAATCAATGGCCCCAAGCATCCAGTTAGAGACATATAACCGCATTGTATACGCCAGAGTGTTGGAGCAACTTACAGACGCTCCTAAAAAGTCGTTTAAAGAGACTTTGGCGGACTTCAATCAGATGATGTGGTTCATCATTCGAAAAGAAGGAGAAATGAAGGTATACGCATACATGCAATGCTGGAAACAATTAGAATCTTTTGGTGCTTTCGATCACCTTAAAACTATTTACAAAGACGCCATTGCTCCATCTGATGATGACAAGTACAGCCTCATGTTAACTATTCCAGCCAAAGCTCCATCTGGTACTAACGAGTCTTACGCTATGGATTGCTCTAAGTTACTTACTAACATGTTGATTGCCCCAGCTTTCATTGCTGCTACTAAAGCTAAAGAAGGAAAAGGTGACGACAAAGTCATTCAAATTGATTATAGACCAGGCGAGTCCTATTGGGTCAAATCAAGTGGCGATAGAATGACCGTCATCTTCTCTATCAAATTCGACGACAAAGACGACGCTGTCTTCGGGAGAGTCTTTGTTAACGAATTCGCTAAAGGACAAGCCGGGTGCCCAAGTTGCGATGTGGTGACTCGAAAGAACGCACCACCACCCGCCGAATTGAAAGACGTCTCCGGCCTTGCAGAAGACAATTGCTACATCTCTTTCTTGTTCGAAAAGAGACATTTGGCTAACCCACAGAAAACTCTTGAAGTCCTCATGACATGCAGAAATTACATCAACTACCACATCAAGTGCTCTAAAGCTTTCTTGCACATCAGAATGAGAAATAAAGTCTCACACTTGCAATTGGTTCTCAACAGAGCTAAGCCTGAAAGAGAAGTCGAGAAGAAAACTGCTAGCGGAAGAACTTTCAAGAAATAAGTTCAGTGCTTTTCATCTTTGTGTTACTATATAGTACTTTATAGTTTCATACAAACTAATACTCTATACCATTTTATATAGTTAAAAGTATTATACTTAATAGTAGTTTTGAGGTGGAGCAAAACCTCAAACTAAAACAACTCATTTACTCGAAAGAAGGTCACTCTTCCTAAATTATCACCAATCATTATCGCACTGCCATTTGCAAAACAAGACGTGTATTCTGCGTTCTTATCAAAGAAGTCGTCGGTGTGTAAATTCACATAGAGCGACTCACTCTTCTCGAAGTCGACCCAATACACTTTCTTCTTGGAAACAAGTAAGACCCCACGGGTGGTCACAGCAGCATCAACACAGGGAGGTATCGTTTCTACACACACAACCTTTGTGGGATCTATTTCTAATAACCCTTTCGACGTGAAACATAAGGCACTCCGATCGACGGTCTTCGTCTTAAAGATGTTCTTTGCTTTGACGTCGACATTGGTGAAGTAAAACCCTATCTGCGCAGTCGTCTGCTTCTGCTTGGAAGACACTTTTGCAAGACTTTTGTCTGGGAGTGGGATCTCTAACAAGTCGTCTTTGTTCTTCGGGAATATCGGTTTCGTCACATTCAACACACTTAAGTTGCCATTCGAGAACTTCCACGTCGTGTTAGCCGACTCAGAGTACGCAAACAACTCGTTCTCGTCAGTCTCAAAAAGTGTTCCTTCCGGGAAATTTGTGTTCTTCTGATTACACCGCAACGGAACTTCGTTTTGTCCAAACACTATTTCAGAGACGCCGTCTTTACTGATCGCAAAGATCTTCCCAATAACATTTCCAATAACATTTCCTTTGATCCAAATGATTTCGGAGAGCCCCGTGCCGATAGTGATTGCGTTGTTGACTGTCAATTGTCTCACTATCTTTTCCGAGTTGAATTGGACCGTTTTGTGAATTCGAACTTTCGGCGGGGTGAATGCGGGCGCCGAGTTCGCGTCCAACGACCCGATCAAGCCACCCGTTTCCTTGACAACTGTTTGATTCATTTTTTGCGGAAGTTTTGGATTGAATTTTGCGGATTCGTCGCGTTGCGAAATTGCCGTCGATAAATGCGATAAAGTGAAATACTCTGGGAAGCTGCCCGGTTTTGCTATTTGTGTTGTGCGATTGAATGGATTTTCGATGTTAATAGTCCGCTCTTTCGATGAGTTTGAAGACTTCGGGGCACTGTTTGCCGGTTGTAATTTGACTTTGTGATGTACATGTTGCTCGTCTTGTAACGTTTGAATGCCATTTGCTTTCTCTCGATCATTACACGTCTGCAATTTCTGTTTTTCGACTTTCTCGACAGCGTCGAACACCGTTTCGATTTTCGAAAACCCGTCGAAAGTCTCGGATTTGTCGATTTTATCTGTTTGGTCCTTCTTCTCGACTTTCACGGGGATTTCAAAGGACACGAGAAGGTCTTCTGGGATGAAAGAAAGGGACATTCTTTTTTTCAACTCAATTTCTTTAGTCGTCAACGTCGTTTGAAGTCGCGCTTTTCGAAATGAGTTGGTCTCGAGTTCTTTCTCATATCGTTGTTTCTCTTTGTCCATTATCATCTTCAACGCGGTGTTCCGCAAATGTGTCATTTCGTCGATGTCTTCTTTGAACTTGACTTTAAGCGCATTGACTAAGTCAGTTAAGTCTTCCAATGTCGCCAACGTCCTTGAAATCTCTTTTGCAAAATTAGTGTAACTTCCCTCATAGTCTTTTGTCTTCTCAATAAACTTATTAAGAATCGAAATGGCCTCGTCGGGTGGTGTATTCTCTAAATTCGTTGGGACGATTGGGTTAGGTTTGTTCGTATGTTCCTCTACCGCAGCTTTTAATGTCACAAAACATTCATCAGCTCCTGGGATAAAGCTTTTTAAATAGTCGTAGACGTTATTACTTGACATGACTAAAGGAATGTCACTTCTGAGATTGTTAGTGTTTCTCTATTTCTAAAGATTCATAAAAAAAATTTGTGGACATGCAAATTTATTAAATAAATAAGATATTTTTACTTTGAAATATTTTTGATGAAATGTTTCAAAAAAATAATTCGGTTAATATATTAATATAATAAACTAATAATAATTACAACTGAATTATAATTAGAAACAGTGAATTTTATATTTACTATAATTTCTAGTTTCATTTAACACTTTGATATAAGAAAAGTATTAAGTTGTCATTAAATTAATTAACCATCAATTATAATACTTGAATTAAATAATATAGTATTAAATAATTACTTACTCCACTAATACATTCTTCTTTGTCTTGGCACTAATTGACCCTTTCACTATAAACACAACAACAGTGAGCGCTAAGAACCCCATTAGCACAAACACCACAGAAAAGATGGAACTGTCTCTTTTGGAATGTTTTCTCCAATTCACTGGTTCATTCATCATTGATCCAAACAAATTAAAAGGAGACTTGAGACATTTCGGCGCAGTTAATTTCACATTTGCCATTTTAAAGACACCACCACACTCGTTTGTTAACTCCTTTTCTATCGTTCTTGTGTTGTACTTCAATTGAATTGTGTCAACCATTTCTTCATTGTACCCATTCGAAGAGAAAAAGACGTACATATACTTCTTGTCTAACTTCTTGTTTGTCATTTTAAATACGACGGAAGACTCTTTGTCGAATGACACATGCGAAGAAATAGCTATTGCGTGTTGGTTCGTATGTTCAATAACTATTTTAGATTTTGAAAACCTGACAAAGTCATTTTCCATACAGAACATCATCGAGTTACTCGACAAGTAAATCTCAGAAGACTCAACCTTTGTCTCAGAATACGTCCCTTCGAGTTCTAACGAACTTCCATTCGACACTATTATCACCACGTTATGTAATATTCCGCCAATCACCACGGACGAATTGTCTTCGAGTGATACTGTCTTATTCCCATTACCTAATCCTAAATACAATGATATTTCTACTTCTCTCCCTCTTATAACGAGTTTTCCTTTTTCGTTGACTAACACATTGACTCGAACTGTTGAATCAAACAGTCCACTTTCCATCACTATTCCTCCAATTTCAACATCTTCGTCAGACTTCTCAATCGTTAAGTTTTTGGCCATGATGATTCCAAGGGTTCGAGTAAATTGTGGGACTTTGATGTGAACATCATCATCCTCAAATACAAAGGCACAAGTCGATGAAAAGTCACACAAGCAATTCGTTGCTTTTAAGTCGTAATTGTGATCAATACCCTTTGGAACTTTACACTCGATGTACGTCTTAACTTCGCGTTGCTGTCTCCAGAAAAACGTGTTGACTTCTGTCATCAGATTATACAAATTGTTTTCGGTCAAATGGTTGTCGTTTTCTCCACAGAGATACACTGCACTACTCATCTGGTCAAGAATCATGTTATCTGTTTTAATACCCTCTTCGTTCTCTTCTTCACCATCAAATGCGATTTGGTGCTCAGAGTTGGTTGCAATGAAAAGTTGACATCCTTCCTTATGAAGCCTTGTAATGGTGTTACTCCTCATCAAGACAACAGTCGTTTCTTTCGCTTCCCAGACTGGATTTTTAATTGTCGCAATTGAGACTTCGTTTTGATCCAAAAAGGCGTCTGATGGAGTTTTTGAAAGAAGTTGTGCATCATCGGCGAATGTTATTCTGTTGTTCGATAATATCACTCGGCTTTTCTTTATTGATGCAATAGATGAAGTACCCAAAAACGTCACAGTCGCTCCAGTTGCATCAAACAGCGAGCCAAAAGAACAAGAGGACAATGTTACATTAGCGTTTCTACGGATCAGAATTTTTTCGATATTAGTAAAGGAGATCTTAGAAGTTGTACTCTCAGCCAACTCGACATTTGGAATGACACAATTTTCAACGGCACAACTCCCTTTTAGAACACTGAGTTTAGAAAAAGACAACGCCTTTAAAGTTATGACATTATCAGTGTCAGCATCGACAATAATTTCAGTCACTTTCCGTGGTATCATTTCGTTGTTGTACGTCTCGCTATGACTAAGGATTAACACTGAATTTGTTATTTCAGTGTTTGAAACAGTTTCATCGACTAAACAAGTTGCTTTCCAATTGTCTACTGTATCAGAACACACTCGGGGTTGACACACAGACAACCCACCTTTCTCAACTAAGTGTACTTCCTTTGGGTTACATGACACCCTCAAATCCTTATGTGATGACCATTCGCTCTTCTTACCTATTTTGTAACTGTTTTCATTCTCAAATTCTATAACATCAAGCTTCTCCACCATCGGTGTTTCATCGTTCGTTAAAATGTACAATCGGATGTCCTCATAGTCTCCAACGACGTGGAAAGCTCTTATTGTACATTTTGTACAAAACAGCTTTGGTTCGGATGACTCCAAAACAACAACATCAAATTTAGAACTCTCTGCATGGATGACACTTCCACTGTTTTCTTTCAAAAATGATATCTCTGCGTTCTTTAATGACAGACTTCCATAATTTGATATTTTAAAGAACCGAAGTGGCTGTTCTGTCATTGATTCCAATGAAGAGACAGTCTCTGGGTAGAATTCAATTTCAACTTTTTCATTTGATGTGTGAAATGTCGAGTTGGTGAACATCGACATTTTGTGGATGACTCGGTGGTCGACAAAGTCCATTTGATTTTCTATAACATTCATTTCATTCACCACAAACTTTGGGTTATCACTTCCGTCCTCTGGATACACTGATATTTGGTTCTCTCTAATAGAAAAGCTAGTAACTAACGTGAGTAAAGGGATATTAGTGTCCTTTGATATTTTCATAGTCAAAGACTCCGTATTAATAATTAAAGGGATATTAGATGGCACATCAAAGACTTCGTGGATATCGGCTGGTATTTCAATTGTACATTTCGAGACATCAGGACACGAATAAGAGTTCAGTGTTGACATTTGAGGAATGAGTAATGTACAAAGACATTCTTCGGATAAAGACACTGTTATCACCAAGAGTAGAATGATCATTTCTCTATTGTCTTGTGGTTATCAAGATGCTTCAGAGTACTTTTATAAGACTCTATCTCTTTCTATATCTCTTTGATGAGTTTCACAATCATTTCCTTCTGACTTTGTTAAGCAGTATTGAAACTATAAATTATAAGTATTTTTATCAATTGTTATAGTTCTTTTACTTGTTTATTTTTAATTAGACCCTTCACTTTCCTCTCAATATAAACGTCCATTATAAATGCAATAACATTACAGTTTGTATAATTGATATTTTAGTAAAATATATCGAATAATATACTACATAACAACAGAAAAAGTGTTATTTAATTGCCATTAATAGTATTATAGAAATCTCTAAAAATGACTTTGGTATTATCAAAATGCTTGTAGAAATGCCAAAAATTGCTGTTAAAAATCAGATATTTCGCCTTTAAATATTTATGTACAATTCAACAGTTTTGTTGGTATTGAATGGATACTATAAATTATAGTAAACCGAATTAATACATTTGGTACAAATCTATTTTTTTTCAAATTCCACCAGAGCCAAGAGGTGAACTCCAAAAGCAAGTTTCGAATATTAAAGCAATTTTGAGATGAATCCAAAAATCACATCAAATGGCCGATTTCAAAGCTCAATACAAAGAATTGTTGGACCAAAAGGTCGAACAACAAGCCAAAGTCTTCCTCACTCAATTTGTGTTAGAATTCCAAGGCAAGTTTGATGAAGTCTTAGACACTGCTTCATCCTTCAAAGGATATACCACCACTGACTTCGACACGTTAGAAGAAGACACTATGCATGTCTTCATGGAGAAGCGTGGGGAGACCACTACCATTGCTCAGCTCAGAGAAAAATTGAAAGCAAATGGCATTGAGACCAGACATAGATTTTCGTTCATTGATTACATGATGTTCCAATACAACAAGACCTTAAAAGACCTTTTTGAGAAGAAGGCGGGTAATGCAACTCCGGAGTTATTGAAAGCATTGGACGAAGCTTTAACTGAGTTCCAGAAGGTAATGGACATCAAAAACGCGCGTAACGCAAAGATGAAAAAGCTTGAAGGTGAAGCAGCAAAGGGTGGAGTCAAGGGAATGACAGCACAAAATGAACTTGCGCAAATGAAGAGTGAAGACCAACTCGCTTTGAACAAGATGGAGGTGACTGCGGCCGCCAAGAAAAGAAAAGCTCAACGTGCTGTTGATAAAGGCGATGATTCCAAAGCACGAGAGAAGGCTCTTAAAGAGGAGAATGCTCGTCTTGAAGCTGAAAAGAAGAAGAAAGAAGAAGAGGAAAGAAAAAAGAAAGAGGAGTCTCGTAAAAGATTGAAAGAGAGAGCCGCCATGTTCAACGCCGCCGAATAATTAAGTTTCCTACATTGCAGATTTCGTTTTTAAGTGATGTCTCCTTTTCAAAACAAATGCTATATTTTATAGCTTTGTCTAATTTAAATATATTATATTATAACTATAGTATTAATTTATAATATCTTTTTTTCAAAACAAATGCTATATTTTATAACTTTTTTATTATAAAAAGTACTAAACAAGTAAATCAAATATCAATCAGTTTAATTCTGCGATGCAAGCTCGAACCACTGTCGTAACGCTTCGGCAAGTACGTTTGGCAGCTCGTTCAAGTTATTAAGCAGAATGTAATGAGGGAATGGGAATGAGTCCATGTAGTATTCGACATTAACTTCCCCATTCACAAATTTGACTGTTTTCATCTCAAGGATCGACTCTGTCGATGGGTGGTCCAAAATAATGAACACTACAAACGTTTTCATTGCTGCAAAATCTCTCAAGACTTTTGCAATCCCATTTTTGTCCGAGAAGCGCCCATCAGACAACACAAATATGATTTGTTTCACGTCAAGTTCTATAGCTGGGTTATATCTTTGACTCACAAGACCGGAGTCATGTAAGTAGACGTAAAGGGTTTGCATCAGTTTTGAAACGTCCGTACTTTTCTCATCAAAGCTGAATTCTTTCACGATTTTAGCGCCACTGTCCCCATTCATAGTGCTTGTGAATTTCTGGACCGTCTCAACGTCCCCACCAAATTTCACTACACTCATCTCTCCAACCTCTAGACGACTGAGTGCACTTGATACCATCGCAACAGTCTCCATCGCCATTTCTCCCGCATTATTGAGAACCATAGACTCACTGTTATCAATGGCCAAGACTATCTGATAGTCCCGGTTCTGTGCTCTTGTTTCGCGAAAGCAGATCTTGTCCTTTCTTAAGCCAGAAAGCATGTATGGGATCACTT